TTACAAGTGAACGACATAACAAAACACATCCTAAGCAAGTTTTCAACCGCGAACATCGAGTCTTGTTCCGGCGAGCTTTCCGACGAACTTTCTTCCGACGGACTCTCATCAAGCTCCCGATCTTGTGATGACTTTAACGAGTAGCCGAGCCTTCTCGGTGATCTCCGTGAACCTCCGACGATCTCTTCGGCGAACTTCTGAAAATTCTGATAGGTTCCCGATTTTTTCTCGGTTGGTTTCGGCAGCATCTCCGACGATTCTTCGGACTCTTAAACATCCATCGATCTTGACTCCGGTATTCTTGCTTTGTGTTTTCTAGTTATCGTAGTTAATCCTGCACACTTAACTCAATAATATGGATTAGATCAATTAACCCATCAATTGATTTCATCATCAAAATCCGAGATTCAACAAGTTTTACGTGCAAGGATTTGATTCACACACATATCTTGATCCTTGTAAAAATGAAGTGTGCTTTAATATCTTATCAATTTTAACTTCATTCAAGCAAGCTCACAAGTGACTTTCCTCCTTCATGCAAAAAGATAATAACAAATTAAGAGGAATAAGTAATGAAAGCTATCTTCATGTCATGCTTTCCTTGAGATATTTGTATAATTGATGTCCTATCACTCATTGTTGAAAAATGACATAAACCTAGTTATGGCATGAATCATTACCGCATTTACATTTAAAATTTGCTTATATCATTCTCCTTTTTGTTGATGACAAAGGGGGAGAAATATATGAATTGATACTATGAGTGCCATATTTAAATGAGAAATATATAAATTGATGCTATAAGTGCCATATTTAAATTTGAATTATGTTAAGATATCAAAAGAAGCTTGCATCGAAATATGTGGTAAATTGATGATAGAAATGCTATGATTGGCATATGTTATGTTTGTATCATGTTAAGATATCAAGAACTTGCATCGTAATTTTACTTGCTGATATCTTGCCATGTGATGAAATGCTATGATTTGTTGCTAAAATGATGCATGCAATACTTATGTTTTTTATTATGATGTATGTGATGTATTGCATATGATGTGAATCATGATTAAAATTGCCTTAATTTGAATTCAAGGTTTATCTCAATTATGAAATTTTAAAAAAAGAATGATTACTCACCTTTGTCATGATTTAGAAATTGACATAAAGGGTCTTCCCTTCTTTTTGACAATGACAAAAGGGGAGATAGCTAGCTTACATGATTCAAGAAGAAAGCAAAAATTATACTTCTCAAAAGAGAAGAAATTGCTATCTTGAATATCACCGAGAATTGCTAGCTTGAAATCTCAAGAAAATATAAAAATATGCTATTTTGCCTAT